ACTTTTTTTGTGATCCCTCAAACACTGTGGGAAGTACTTGTTCATTACTTCCTCTTTAAATCGCTCCCAAATCAATTCCGATTGTTGCTCTGGGGTCCTCGTCCTTGACATCGAGTCCCACCAGTGGCTTGCATCACCGGAGAACATAAACTCAGTACACTGGACCTTCTAGGCGTCCGTGCACCCTATTAATCGGAATATTCTCTCCAACTTGCGAAGCCACTCCTGGGCTGCAAGTGGATCAGCTGCTCCATTGAAGGTAGGGGGCTTGTGTCTTCTAAATTGCTCGACCACTGAAGCATGGGTTGGAGGAGCATTAGGAGCTAGTGGTAGGGGTTGCGCCTGGTTCAGGTTTTGCCTACCAAGGTCTTGGACTGCTTGGAGGAGATCTCTTATCAAATTGGTTTGGTTTGCGCGGGCCATTTTCCTTTAGACAAAACGTATGGTTTTTATTAGTTTCATACTTCGAATTCTAACAAAGAAAATAAAATTTTATTTCTTGATATAAAGAAAGTTGTTACAAGGATTTAAATCTAATCCCTATAAGTTCTACGGATCTTCTTTGGTGGAGCCTCATCTCCAGAGGAGTCTTCCGCCTCAGGTCCGAATTCTATGTACATCTCAACCTGTGGCTCGAGTTCAGGATCATTCCCTTCTACAGGTTCTTCTTCTTCGTCAAGTTCAATTACTATCTCCGGTTGAGGTTCTAAGTTTTCCCTCCATAGGTCTAGGAGTGATTGGCAATACACTTTAAATTCAAATATATTTGGGTGCTCCTCTAGCATTACATCCTCAACTGTGACTCCCATATCTCCCCATTGAGGTGGAAGGGAGTGTATGAGGTTATTTATAGCCTCAATATGCGTTATCTCCATTCCAGCGTTCACCGCTGTCATGCATCTCTCATAGACATCATGTATATGTTTGTCAAGTGAACGGAGCAGATCAGTCACGTAATTCTCATAGGACTGAATGTCGATTCTACGGTTCAATGTTTCTCTATGTGCCCTAGCCGTTCTACGAGCCATATTTGTTGTATTTTCACATATCATACACTTTTTTTTTTACTCTTGGAAAAATGGCTACTGTTGCATAACATTCTACCTATAAATTCTAACTCAATGCATATCTTTTGAAAAAAAAACACATCTTTCAAATCATTTCTAACAGGCATAGTATATATTTGAAAATAAGCATAAGTTGTACCATAGCATCGCAAAGCATCATAACATAGTCTTTTTTATGAAAACATTAACTTTGAACATACCTGAGCCGTAGGATGAGATTGATGGATGGATGCAAGATGCCATGAAGCATTTTAGACTTTTTCATTTAAAAAAAAAAACATACTTGGTCTACAGAACCGGCTAAACCGTTTTTTTTAACATACTTGATCTACAGAACTGGCTAAATCATACTCTGATACCACGCTGTAACGCCCTGACTCCTTGTGGACCGGAACGCTACTTACTTTACTTAACTAACCAGTGATTTAGTCATAGGAGAATATATTTTAACAGAAGCTTAATTTTTATAATGATAATTTTAATAACAACCTTTCGAATATTTTAAATAAAATACTGGATAAAAAAATAACGGAACGTAATTTATTTAAAGAAAATACAACTTGTTATCGCGTTCAGCGTTATTCAAATACTTTGAAGAAATAACATTGAAAATGTTCACAAAAATAAATATAAATAACTGGTTCACCGGGTTTTTCCATGGGCTTGTTGCACCACTCTCCATCTTTTCCATCATCCAGGGCCAAAGTAGAATCATATCAATCTGTAGAGAAGAGGTTAAACCCGTGAGTTAAAAAATTCAATAGAAACGTTTTCATAGTAGGATTTTCGGTAGAATCCCAAACACGTAGAGTCATGACTTAACACGACGCCTCGACCGGAAATACATGTCGTACCCGGAGGTACCATTAGATAGGAGGTGTATGCCGTACCAAAGGTACCATTAGACATACAAATATTAACATAAATTTTCATTTGCTAGAAACTTATAACTTAACACGAATTAACACTTTGCACCTCTACCTACATTGTTTGATGCTTTGAACTTTTTTGAAAAATGCACTCCTTTGATGTTTAAAAAAAAAAACTCCGTTGAGAACACTTCTTGATAGCCCCAAAACTTCTAGGAAAAATTAATTTTCCTCCCTCTCCTTTCTCTTTTTTCTAGACTTGAAAACTCTCTCTTTTATACTTAGAAGCTTTTGTCTTGGTGTGAAAAATGTGTATGCATTGAGGCCTATTTATAGGTGAAAATCTCACAACTTAAGGGCAAGTGAAGGGCCTAATACTCATTAATACGGGTGCCATTTATGTGGGAGTTATAGGTTTAAGAAGGTACTAAAAAGTCGTGTAGGAATTTGACTTTTCATATTTCGCGTACTTCGGTTGATACCGTACAGCCATTAGTATTTCTATCATAACTTCTTCTCCCGATATCCGATTGAGGTAATTCAAAGTGAGTTGGAAAGCTAACTGAAAGAGCTACAACTTTTCTTGAGATATCATTTTCCAAATCGAATGTTTTCTATGTCGTAAATGAGTCTCAAATGAGACTAAAAATCTGAAATATACTTTAGCCATCCAATATTCATGTCTTAATACCACTAAAGTGTTTAAAATTATTGGGGGTTCTACATCATAAATCACAAATTTTATAGGCAATAACTTGTCTAAAATCACAAATTAGAAAATTCATTGGTCACAAATATTTTTATAATTGGTTACAAATCCCACTGTATATAACCCGAACCCCACCACTACCGAACCACCATAGTCACCGTTAGTGCCATCACCCTCGTCAACACCATCTAACCATCATCATCACTTCAAGCACCAGTATCACCACAGTTTGTATCAATAATCACAATCACAATCACAACCACAACCACCATCTCCATCCTTCTCCCCACCACCCACACTACTGTTCACCACCACCAATCGAACACCATGCCACATCTCCACCATTTGCAACTACAAAAGACCACCACAATTTGGAAATCACAAACAATCACCAACAAAACTATCCCAATCAGATCCAAGAAGGACGAAAATAACAAAACCACCAAAAAACAGCATATCGACGTTCATCTCCAAATCCATGACAAAATCACACGAACACTGCCATACTGGGTCGCAGAGCATAGCATGAAGCCTCGTGCAGCATCGTAGGTAGCGAGGCAGCATTGCTGGTCGGCGACACCTCCACTGACATTCACAGATCTGTAGCGTTGCTAGTTGGCGACATCCCTTCTAAGTATCAATACTCCACAAAAGACAGTAGATCGGCGAGCGTGGCTCCAACAGAGGATCTTCTACACTCGACGTCGATTGCTGGAATAGAGAGGATGGGGTGAGTAGAGAATGAATGTGAGAGAGGGGGGGTAGAGAGAGAGAGAGAGTTTGGAAATGATTTAGAGCTCGAGTTAAATTGGGTGGGGTGAATGGGGGTGGAAATGTAGATTAATTAAATTTTATAATAATATTATTAAATTATTTAAAGATTGAATTATTACTTGAATTTTGAATAAAAAATTTTCAAAACTGATATTTGAATTGAGAAGTTAAAAAAAATCCGTGGCTTTAATTTCCACTTGACACTTTTAGCACTAAACATAGGAACCAATGTTGATTTAGTTATAAATCAGATTTCTAATAAATTTTGATAAAAGATAATAAGTATGTGATTGTAAAGTTGATAAAAATTATGAATACCATGAAATATTTGTTAAAAATGTTTGAGAAAAGAAATGCATTTTAGAAATAATTTATGCCAATATTTGGTTCATCTTAAATACTTTGCTAAAAATATAAACCAGTGTTGAGAATTAATTTTAATCATATATTAGTGAAATCCACAACTTTTAACCATTAGCTTTTATTAAAATTTAATAAAATATGATTTTTAGCTAAATTGAATGGGGACTAAACAAATAGCACGTATTTCATAATAGGGAAATTTGTAGTTATGGTCTCCAAACATTCAGCTTGTAACACTAGGATCCCATTCAATTTTTCCTGGATGGTTATACTTTCACCAAGATGTTATTTATTGCACCACATTATAATTACAACTCAAAATCTTAGATAAATCATATTTTTTATGAATGCACCAATTTAAGAGGGGACTTGGTGGGGATTAAAATTAGGAACTTTTTTTGTTCGGATTAAAATCTGATTTTAATCTAAGTCAAAATTAAACAATCAATATTAATAACTTATTTCATGGATTTTATAACTTTTCAACCAAATATTTCAAAAACTTCTATCACAATCTACTAAAAAATCTAATCCAATAAAAATTTAGTTAATATTAATTGTTTGATTTTAATTTAGATTAAAATCAAATTTTAACCCGAACCAAACATGCTCTAATTTTACAATTATAGTCCTAGAGTTTGTTTGGGAGCGATTTTTCATCCAAAAAATTGATTTTTTGACTGTTATTTTCACTATTTCAACCGTCATGTTTGACTTCTTCTCTTACAGACGGACCATAATTTTTTCCTAACGATCAAAAAATCAATTCTCAAAATCACTCCCAAACAGGCTCCTAATCAAAATAAAAACTTAAATGATTATGCCATTATGGTGTACACCCCCTCACATTTGGCTGTACAAACAATTGAAGTAGTCATGTGCACGGCATGTGACACTTTACGAGAAATCTTGAAGACTTGAATGGTTTTCGACCAATTGGATCGCCTAGCACCAAAATTGACAGCTTGAGAAGCAGAATGGCAAGAAAAACTCAATGGGGAACCAAAAGCCACGAGCCTTAATGTCTGGGGACCGCAGCTGCAAAATTTCTCTTCATAATATCATCTCATATTACCATGTGGCCATGATATTAAAAAGTGGGCCCCAATTTCACATTTCAACTACCTAACCAGGGACCCACATAATAAATAAAGAAACTTGGAGAAACCACACGTGGAATGACACCTGTCCTCTGATATTTATATATGTGACTCTCTCTGTCTCTGTCTCTCTCTCTCTCTCTCTCTCACAAACACTGCACACAATGGCGTCGGACCAGTCTCTTACAACTCCTCTCTTATCCACTCCCACTCCTTCCCACGTAAGTCTCGACGTTTCCTACTCCCACGACGAGCAATCTAAACATCAGCTTAACCCGTTCGCTTTTCTCGGGGCGGATCACGAGTTCGAGGTGCCCGAATCTAGCACCATCGACCCGTTTAGGAACCACACACCTAGGGTAGAAGGTCTGTACGAGTGGCTAAAGATTGTCGTTTGTCTGCCTATTGCTTTGGCCCGGCTACTACTATTTGGGCTGTGCTTAGTGGTGGGATACGTGGCCACGGTTTTTGCGCTCCATGGATGGACGGACAAGCAGAATCCCATGCCAAAATGGCGCTGCCGGGTACTGTGGGTCACCCGTTATTGCTCCCGTTTCATACTCTTCTCGTTCGGGTAACTCGAGTTTTGGAAGTAGTATAATAGTATGTTACACATTGAAAATCTATTTGTAGTGCTTATTTTTTTGAATTCGAAATTGGATGGTCTGACTTCTGTTTGAGTGAAAAGAGCTGTGAGTGATATTTTGGTTTAACTTACCAATTTAACAGTAGAACGAGTGATTTGTCGAAGCTTGCACATGCTTGGCAAAAAAATAAAAAATAAAATAAATAAAAAATCAATTCTTTTATGGGTGAATGTTGGAAATAAATAAGACTATTCTGCGGTAAGGTAAACGGAGTTTTAGTATGAATATATGTTCTCCATGTAAAAGTTAGGTTTAGTTCTTTTGGAATTCGAAATTCTATTTGACTAAAAGAGCAGTGCGTGATATTTCAGTTTAATTTGGACATAAAATGAGGAATTTATCCAGGAAGGAACAAAATAGTGTTCTAACAATTCTAATTCTGCCCAATATTTATTCGACCAACAATAGGGATCTGTGGACGGATATTTTCATCCTGTGAACTCTACGATTATTAGATGGTCGAATGATCTATAACGGACCCCCTCTTCGATCCCACTTTCACATTTGTATTCTACTTGAACAGATATAAAGATTAATTAATGAATTCATATTTCTGGGTTCTCCACTTCAACATGGCACTTGTCAGATAAGCATGTTGGACTATTTGGCCTAAAATCTTTACAGTCTCTAGCTTCTGATTCTCTGAAATGCAAAATGAGCTTGTGAGCGGGACTCTGCACTTTAGCGAGCTGGTGTAAGTAGGCAGGAGGACCGAATTATACAGATTTGTTTAAGCTGCAATGGATTGCTTGGAATGAATGGAATATGCTACACTTGGTTTAACTGGTGTGATTATGTAGGCAAAAGATGAAAAGAAGTATTTTTTGTAGTTCCTGAATTTTATAATCCATTTCCAACGTCGAGAGGGTGTTTGACACCCATTTTGAAGGAAAAATGAATTTTAGAATAGTAGATTGATGGAGAATGTGTGGATGAAAAGTTTTTAATTTACGTGTAATATTATTTTAATGAAGAGTATGTGGTTGATAGATTACATGTGTAATATTATTTTTAATTTTAATGAGAGAAATGGGAATCAAACGGGGCCCGAATTATATACTAGTTCTAAGTTTTTAATTTGGGAAGTGTGAGAATATTAGTGATTTGGTTAACTGTAATGAAAGGAAGTATCACTTTCCCACGAAAATGGACATTCGATTGGGATGTCCAGGAAAGGATATGAAAGCATTCGTGTGCGATAAAGAGGGTATGAAAGTTTAAAAAGTTTCTTTGGTTGATGTTTCTTTTTCTTTTCCTGCAAATGAGTCTGATTTGAGTAAAAATCTTATTCCTGTTTACCTTTTGCATTTTGATGCTGCAGCTACCATTGGATAAAACAAAAAGGAAAACCTGCTCCAAGGGAAATCGCTCCTATAGTTGTATCTAATCATGTATCATATGTTGAACCTATTTTCTTTTTCTATGAATTGTTTCCAACCATTGTTGCCTCTGAGGCACATGATTCTATGCCTTTTGTTGGTACCATCATCAGAGCAATGCAGGTAAAACTCAAGTTTACGATCTCTTTACTTGTTTATTCTTTACTCCTTTTTTCCGGGGATTGGGAAATAATCTCCTTTTTTTACCAAATTACCTATTTCCAATCCCAACTTTTCGATTTGATTCTCCTTTTTTTAAACTAAATTACCTATGTCCAGTCCCAACTTCTAATGCATTCTTGAAATAAACATGTCCAATCATGTCTCTTATTTGCTTTGTAGGTGATATATGTTGATAGATTCTCACAATCATCCAGGAAGCATGCTGTTAATGAAATAAAGGTATCAATAATCTGTCTGTGTATCTACCTTCTGCTTTCCTGTTGTACAACATAAATGATAATGATTCTCTAGATGAGAACTTAATCTATGATGCACATGTTAACTTTTATTTGCTTCTCGATGCTCTCTACTCATCTAAGTTGCTGTCAACTCAGTAATTAGTCATTACAAAACGCCACTTGTTCATGAAAGTGAGAATGTAACTGCAATTGATACTTAGCTTATATCTCTCCACGTGCTTGTGAGACACGTTTCTGCAATGTGTGTGGGACAACGCTTGATCATTGTATTGTTTTTTAGAACTGAAATCGTACGGAATGCTGTCTTGTCTTGTTTTGCGAAATTTGTAATGCTTCCAGGTCGGAATAAATTTAAAGCTTTAAAATGTTTATCAATTTATTAGCTAATTGATACAGAAATATGCTTTCAAGGACATAAATACAGAGAAAAGCTTCTTCCGATCAGTTTCCTCGAGTGCTTTTATTTCCTGAGGGAACGACTACCAATGGAAGAGTTCTTATTTCCTTCCAACTTGGTGCATTCATTCCTGGTTATCCTATCCAGCCAGTCATTGTCCGTTATCCTCATGTACACTTTGACCAATCCTGGTATGTCTCTCCTCCTGCTTTTGCTATTCTTTTTGAATGGGCCTTACTAGTTACCAAGAAGCTTTACTTCATACATTGCTGCATTTGCTTAGGGGTAATATTTCTCTGGCGAAGTTGATGTTCAGAATGTTCACTCAATTCCACAATTTCATGGAGGTATGTTACATCTCTCTCTGGGTGGGTGTTTTTATGCTTGTATGCGCCCCCTGATCAACAATTGAATTTGTTTCATTTAATCATAATTCTCAAGATACGGAAGTTTTAACATGCCCCCAGTCTTTCATGGGCCCAATAATAGTCCAAAAACCCATGATTACTTCCCTCTTAAGTTGTATAATTCTACAAATCTCATGGATGGGTTTCTTATGTAAAAGATAAACTATAGATCGTGTATATATCACACTTTCAGTGTAGTTGGATTCTCTCCCTTTTCATCAAAATTCTAATTTTCATCTACTGATTTAGTTCACCCCTTCATACAGAGTCTCTAGATAAGTGTGTGAGTTTGAAACGTGTTTGTATATTTTGGTAATCTTTTCAAACAAGATTACACTGAAAGAGTGACCCAATATCAAAACGGAAAAATGAATTTGATATTTAATTTGTGTTATTTATTTGAGGATATAATAGTATGATAAGACCGTCCTTAACATGCTGCACCCAAGCATAATCGATTCCAGTTTTCTTGATTGATGATAGCAAGCTTAATTCCTTGCAATTCTTGGGGCACTCGTTTGCTAATGCATTTCGAAGGCATCCTGATAATTTAGTACTTATATCTTTACATTGATCTGAAGAAATTGCATTAATCTTTTCTGAAACTACACAGGTTGAATATCTCCCTCTTGTGCTACCACATGAAAATCGAAAGGAAAATGCTGTCCATTTTGCTCAGAGGGTGAGTCAAGCGTGACCTTGTATATCTTAGTATCTTTAGATCATAAATGTTACGGACTCGCTTTGTTACTTGTTCAGTGAGATATAGTGAACTTTTCCAGAACCAGAATGACAACTGAAACAAATCTTTGTTTCTTAAACTTGCATGCAAAGATATTCTTTCACTATCTGCTGTTCATGCTCATGGTCTTCAATAATAATTGTTTTCTTAAACTTTTGATGCCGTGTTTTATAAATTCCACGCCACTAAATTCACCCTATATGCATGCCTTCTAAGGTTTACTGGACTGACAATTTGTAGATCCATCTGCCTATAATGAATAGCTTGGCTTCTCCACTTGTATGTGTTGGCATTTCATTAGGTTAGTTATAACTGGCTCTAGTGGAACTCTTCCTATTCTATTTGCTCATTCATATTCTTACGCAATACTGAGGTGGATATACGTTTAACTTTCCATCCAGATGCCCTTCTCTATATGTAGGACTCTGCTAAATTTTACTATTATTGCCCTTTAGAAATAAATGTTTTCCTATGGACTTGATTATCCTTTATATATGCTCTCTACGCATGATTGTGGATATGTATAAATTTTGGCATATGGGTACACATTTTGTAACTACTCTCGAATGCCACCTAAATCTATTTATTCATCATCTCTCATACCATGCATATGATTTAATGCAGACTAGTCGTGTTATAGCAAGCAGTCTCAATGTTGTACAAACATCACATTCGTATGGAGATTTGATGCTTCTTACAAAAGCATTAGAGTTCAAGCAGGTTTTTATTTGTTTCTCTTGTTACCAGCAAATGTAATGAATTAATCAGTTTTAAACAATAACATGTTCTTCTGTTGAAGTTCTTAAATGGAAATAGCGTTGAGGAAGTATCATATTACAATAATGACTTTTACATCATGCTTTATTTCTTTGTCTATTATAGCACGAGTAGAATAATATTTTAGGATAAAATAGCATCATTATGTATATTTTCCCTATTTCTGTTCTTGAAATTTGTATTTTAATCATATATGACACTGGTCTGCTTCTCACCCTTGTGGAATGTAGACATCTCGACATTTTTCTTCCTTTGCTGGTTGCTGTATACACATTCAAATTTTAAGACACTTAATCCCTGTTTGGTTTTGTTAAAAATCAGATTTTTTAGTGAATTTTGAAAAAAATTGATAAAATGTGTAGTTGAAAAGTTGATAAAAGTTATAGGTCCCATGAAACCGTGGTTAAAAATAATTGTTGATTTGACTTAAATTTTATCAACTATTTTAGCTAAACCTCACTGGGACTTAGAATATGTAATAGCGAAAGTTTATAAAAATGCCATGTGTATATGGTGTAATTACTCTTTGCATTCCGTGTTTCTTGAAGTTATAATTGCACACTAATGAAACTGCATAAGAACATTGTAAACAAGTGGAAATTATTACTAAATGAACAGCTTTACTCATAGATTTATGTTATGTTTGTATTCTTATCCCGGATGATTAACTATTCTATGTATTCTATCCTTATTCTAAAGAGCTGCTCGATTTATTTTGCAATGAAATTCGAATCTGGAGCTCTTGCCTTGTGTCTGGAATTTGAAGTTCTTCCTTCTAGGATCCTAAGGGTCCATTTGGTATGGCTTTCGAGAAGTCAAAATGAGCTTTTAAGAACGAAAAGCTGCTTGTGGACTCATTTGGTTAATTTAATAAAAGTGTATCTTCTAGTTAGAAGAACTTTTAGAGGAAGTTTGTTTAGGACTTGTTTGGCATGGCTTTTAAAAAGTCAAAAAGAACTTCTCAGATCCAAAAGCCGCTTTTGGCCCCCCTTTTGGCTAATTTTATAGAAGTGCTTTCTATAGTTTTTAGAGGAAGCTAATTCAATGTAACTTTCTGTAAGCCCCCGTTTGAGCCCATTTATTTCTCATTACATTAAATTAAAATTTTCTTTCTCCTACTTTTAATCACACAATTTTCAATAAAATAATATTACACGTAAATCAAAAACTTTTCAACCACTCATTTTTCAAAAAAATACTATTCATCTCATTATAATTTACAAATAATGGAGCTCAAACGGGGGCTAAAAGCACTTTCAAAATAGGAAGTGCTTTTAAAAATTAGTTTCCAAATAAAAATCAAAGTAGCTTCCTCCGAAAGTTTTTCTATAGGAAGCAAAAGTGAAAGTAAAAGCCATGACAAACGAGCCTTCAATGTGGCTTCCTCTAAAAGCTTTTCCAAAGATAAACCTCATTTAGAAATTAGTTTTCAAATACTAATTAAGGTAGCTTCCTTGAAAAGCTATTCTACAAGAAGTGGAAGCTCTGCCCAATAGACCCTAAGTTATTTTAGTATATCGTTTTGATGCAATATTAAAACTATGTTTTGTCAGGAGAAACCCTCACAATATATGGTTGAAATGGCCTGGGTGGAATCGGTGAGTTAAAAATGCTTTATGATGTTTGCTGTTGTATTTTGTAGACACTAGAATTAGGTTGAAGCTGTTAGCATTCTGCCATGCTATTCAAATTTAAATTTTGTGAATGTGATTTTGATAACTATGCAAGTTACTGTTTCCTGTCAATTAAAGCTACTGAGACAAGAAAGGAACTCTCCAGAAGCTCTTGTTGCAATTGCCCTAAGTTCTAATTGAAACAAAAATGGAAATTAATTAACAATATTTCACATGAAAAGAAAAATTTTATAAAGATTTTTGAGCTGGATTTTACGTGTAAAACAAACCTTTTATATTGTCTTATTTGTTAAATGTTTTAAACTTTGCTGTGTAAATTATTGCATATTGCTCAAACTTGATTTTTATTTTTGAATCATAAGAATTTTCTATTTAAATCTTTTTGTCACGGGGCAAGTTTTGGGCCAAAAACTGATTAAACATCTTCACAGCCTTCCCTTTGAAAACTACTTGTTACTGTTCCATTAAAAATAATTGTTGATTTGACTTAAATTTTATCAACTATTTTAGCTAAACCTCACTGGGACTTAGAATATGTAATAGCGAAAGTTTATAAAAATGCCATGTGTATATGGTGTAATTACTCTTTGCATTCCGTGTTTCTTGAAGTTATAATTGCACACTAATGAAACTGCATAAGAACATTGTAAACAAGTGGAAATTATTACTAAATGAACAGCTTTACTCATAGATTTATGTTATGTTTGTATTCTTATCCCGGATGATTAACTATTCTATGTATTCTATCCTTATTCTAAAGAGCTGCTCGATTTATTTTGCAATGAAATTTGAATCTGGAGCTCTTGCCTTGTGTCTGGAATTTGAAGTTCTTCCTTCTAGGATCCTAAGGGTCCATTTGGTATGGCTTTCGAGAAGTCAAAATGAGCTTTTAAGAACGAAAAGCTGCTTGTGGACTCATTTGGTTAATTTAATAAAAGTGTATCTTCTAGTTAGAAGAACTTTTAGAGGAAGCTTGCTTAGGACTCGTTTGGCATGACTTTTAAAAAGTCAAAAAGAACTTCTCAAATCCAAAAGCCGCTTTTGGCCCCCCTTTTGGCTAATTTTATAAAAGTGCTTTCTATAGTTTTTAGAGGAAGCTAATTCAATGTAACTTTCTCTAAGCCCCCGTTTGAGTCCCATTATTTCTCATTACATTAAATTAAAATTTTCTCTCTCCTACTTTTAATCACACAATTTTCAATAAAATAATATTACACGTAAATCAAAAACTTTTCAACCACTCATTTTTCAAAAAAACACTATTCATCTCATTATAATTTACAAATAATGGAGCTCAAACGGGGGGCTAAAAGCACTTTCAAAATAGGAAGTGCTTTTAAAAATTAGTTTCCAAATAAAAATCAAAGTAGCTTCCTCCAAAAGTTTTTCTATAGGAAGCAAAAGTAAAAGTAAAAGCCATGACAAACGAGCCTTCAATGTGGCTTTCTCTAAAAGCTTTTCCAAAGATAAACCTCATTTAGAAATTAGTTTTCAAATACTAATTAAGGTAGCTTCCTTGAAAAGCTATTCTACAAGAAGTGGAAGCTCTGCCCAATAGACCCTAAGTTATTTTAGTATATCGTTCTGATGCAATATTAAAACTATGTTTTGTCAGGAGAAACCCTCACAATATATGGTTGAAATGGCCTGGGTGGAATCGGTGAGTTAAAAATGCTTTATGATGTTTGCTGTTGTATTTTGTAGACACTAGAATTAGGTTGAAGCTGTTAGCATTCTGCCATGCTATTCAAATTTAAATTTTGTGAATGTGATTTTGATAACTATGCAAGTTACTGTTTCCTGTCAATTAAAGCTACTGAGACAAGAAAGGAACTCTCCAGAAGCTCTTGTTGCAATTGCCCTAAGTTCTAATTGAAACAAAAATGGAAATTAATTTATTTTACATGTTCATATTCTGTGAAAGGATGGATAAGCATGTATATGTGTGTCATTGTTGTATTATTTTAGACAACCAAGTTCTTGAGTTTGAAATCTTCTAGAGATGTCAAAATACCCTGAAAGAAGTGGAGTAATAAAAATGGAAAATGAAAAAATGTGCGCTATTGTGGCCTAATTTCTTGCATGATGAAATTAAGTTCAAGTTGATCAATTGTCAAAAATCAAATTAATTTTTTGAACAACATCTGTTTGAACAAGTGAATTGTGGTTTTGCATTCTGCTTTTCATTCATATTTGAATTGCTGAATGCTTACTCTCTTGCTTGCACTGCATTTTCTTTTTAATATAGAATTTTCACCAAGCTCTGTAGGTAGTCTTTTTGGATATTATCTTTTAATAGTAACCAGTTGAAGTTTATGTTATGATATTCCTAATAAGTTACATATTCTGCCAGTAATCCTACCTCATAGTGAAAATAAGTTACTGTTTTTTTACTTACGGGTCACAAGGAAATAGCAACCTATCCAAACTTTATCTTTGGGAACAGCAATTTACTTAACAAATATCTTTGACTTAAAATTCAGCTTACTTGCTCTTCTTTTTATCCAACAGAAGCGTATATTTTTGTGTTAATATAGTGGATGTGTCCCTTGGGCTCCCTGGTCAGATCAAACTCAGTTCTTGGAGGGTTCTGTTTGCGTTCATAAATTTAACTAAATGGTGGTGTAAACCTTTCTTATGAATAAAAATGTCTGCATGTCAGTTCCTGCTTGGATCGGCCCATATCTTGAAGCAGCCATTATTTCAGCATGCGTGTGAACTAGCATTTAGTATATGTGACAGTGATGAGAAGAATTACATTTTGAAGCAAGAGGTATTTCTTCATTTTTCCCTCTATATGTCTAGAGGTGTCAACTGAGCAGGGAGAGGTCCAGGCTTTTTCCCGTCTGGGCAGCCAGACTTTATTGACTCCTCTACCTATGCCCCTGGTAGCCAGTTAGCCTTCTCATGACCTCTCTTGCTTTTGTAACAGTTACAAGATTCAATTACATTGGCAATTCCATACTTGAACGACGAAGAGGTACATACTTGAGAAATACTATCTGATGACAAAAGGATATTATATTCTGATGATGCCTTTTAATGATGATTACTTGTGCGTATTGTCTAATTGCAAATGCACGCTTCTCTTTCCAATTCTTTAACATAGATTCATTATCTCCTTTCCCGATTTTTTTTGAGTTGAAACTAAGTCGGACGTCCGTTAAAAAATTGAGGCCTATAATTAAAGTCGACAAATGTTGGACACAAATTAAAATGCGTGAAAGGTCAATTTAAAGATTCTAAGTTGCCAACATTTTTGTTTAAGGTGAAGTGGCATTCCTGATGATTGGTAGTTCTTTCTTTTTCGTTTTTCGTTTTCCATTTTCAATTTTCTCCCACCATTTATAGAAGATTGTTACATTTGATATTTGCAGATTCAGAGGCTCTTTAGTTTATTTGATATGGATGAAGATGGAAGGATCAGCAAGGATGATTTTCTCACCTGTTTGCAAAAACATCCATTGCTCATAGCGATATTTTCTCCTCGACTGTTGCATCGAGGATCGTCCATAGCTGAAGATATTGTGGTCGAGGAGGTGGCATAGCATATCAATTTTTATTTTATTTTTTTTTAAATTGTTATTTTTTTTGTTGGTTTTTCATAGTGAACGAATTATATAGTTTAAAGAGGGGAGTCGGCATGCAGAAACTCGATATCTAGCCTTAAAACAGTAATTATTTCGTCTCAATGCTTTTTTCTGAAACTGTTTTTGATTCCTTTATGGACTATGGTTGCTTAGTGCTCAATCGAATTGCTGTCATTTTGATATATACTGCATTTAGTAGACTGCCATCTACACTGCTATGTAAATGGAGCTTCTTTTTTTCTTTGGTCACTTGTATCAATTGGTGGCATGGTGCATTTGGTTGTAAAGTGTCTTTTCCATTTTTTTTTCTCTTTGTTTTGTTTGGGTTGGGTTGGGTTGAGGGGTGCGAGTGGGAGGTAAAAAAACAGAGTTAGCCCCTCAACCTATAGTGAATTTTGTGTTAGTCTTGGAATTTTATTTTGTTTCAAAATGGTCCATGGAATTTTCTTTTTGTTTCAATTTAGCCCCCGTTGTTTATCAATTTTGGAAGAATGAGAATGAAAAATATAGTAGTTATAAGCCCACGCAAGAGAGAAATTCAAATTTGGTGGCTTGATATGATGGGTAACGGTCATATTTTTCATTTTAATGAGAAAATAATAGGAATCAAACGGGGCTTTGGTCTGTTGAAAAACCCTTTAGTTTTCTAATGTAATGTTTTGATTTGGAAGATCTCCATGTTGATGCCACGTCAAATTAGTGTTCTCCACATGGAACTTTTCGTTAGAAACAATTTGATCTTAATTGAATGAGAAAATAAAACAGAAAAATTTGGGTGCTTACTTCGGAACAAAAAAGTAAGTGCAATGAGTAACGCAATATGATACTTTGCTAAAAACGTTTTAGCATGATACGATGTTCTTAACACTTTTATGGGAAATAAGAGAGTGCATAACCACTAAAAAAAATTAATAATAATAATAAAATAATAAAATAAATAAATAAAAGAGTTAACCCAATCGTTTGTAGGTGATGCACCAATGTTTTCAACCTACTATTTGTTGTACTCGTGTCTTTAATCTTTCAAAACAATGATACTCATGTTTTCACTTAAAACATTTATTTTAATAGTAAATGAACACGTGAAACTATCTTCTTGATTGGATACTCTTTTAGTGCAACTATTAAAGCGTCGAGTCTTTCAAGTACTATATCTACATGCTTGAAAGTGATAAAAAAATCAACAATTCAATTGTAGAAAACATAAAAATGAATGTTACTTGTCCATATGTTCAAATAAACGTTTTTCATTAGTTGGGGATTAGTTCCTATAGTTTTAAATTAAAGGTTAAGGACATGATTGTAGTAAATAGCAAGTTGAAGACATGAGTGCCATATTTACAAAAGGTTGCAACCACTCTCGATATTTACCCATAAAAGAATTCTAATTTAACTATTGTGTCCAAATTTTTGTTTTAATAAAAATCTTAAGGTCGAAGATAAATGTTTTTTGTAAGGTGTTGAATAGATTTATTGGTGTGAAAGCACGTTTAGTATAATTGTCCACAAACCTACCTAGCATATATAAATGACTAAAAAAAAAATAAAAAAAAATGTTGTTATTTTTGTCAAAATGATATGACTTCTCAACTAAATTGTACGGGATTGTATTTTTAATGGACCATTAATTTAGAGATTTTGTGTTTTTATTATCTTAATTCTATCTTTTTCTTGTAGGTTGTCGGGTTAATGATTCTTAAGGTGTTCGGAACATATTTCAATATTAATGTTATACATTACTTGCACGTTTTTTCATGAATATAAAATTTCAAATATTTTTCTCTCAAAATCATTTTTTAAGCAAGAGAACTTAGGATCGGTTTGATTGTAATGAAATGGAATTTGGGTGGAAAAAAAAATGAATTTTAGGGAATTAAATTGCCTAGAACTTGTTTTATTGGAAATTGTCAATTAAATGTGTTGGATTGGTATAATTTTTTTACTTAGAAATTGTTTGGCTTTGTTTTTTTTATGAAAATTGTCAATTAAATAGATAAAATTTGTTATAAGCCAAAGGAATTGGAATTCCTTAAAAAGCAAGAAAACAAGGTCACGTGGGACTTCCATGGAACTTCTGATTATCAAACAAGACAAAATGGATGAAAAATTGAATTTTTTCATAGAATTGGCTTGTATCAAACAGGCACTTAAATTCATAAACTTTTTTTTTTTTGATTTTCATACCCAATGGGTGAAATTTTCTTATATAGCAGTCTAGTCATGAGGAGCAAAGTGAATTGAAGTCTCACCGCACTAGAAAGAAAAGTGTGAGTAAAAAATGAAGAAAAAAAATTGCACGTTATGTTTTATAGTTTTGTTTGAGAATTGTTGATATTAAGCCCATGTTTAGGGGGGAACGAAATCAGATTTTTAATAGATTTTGATAAAAGTTGATGAAATGTATGGTTGAAAAGTTATAGATCCATGAAATGCGTGGTTAAAATTAACTGTTGAATTTGACTTAAATTAAAATCTTGATTTTTAGTAGCACCAAATAGGATCTAAATTTGTCCAATCAAGTGGTCGATAGAAACATATAAAAATTTGTGAATCTGATTAACATTTTCAGAAAAATTGTTAAATGTTGGCCACAAGCATCTATACCAAAAGCATCAAATGTTGGTATAATTATTATTGTTATTGTTGTTGTTGTTATTCATATTATAGAAAGCTATAAAAATTTGTTATATATAAATTTAATGACAGAGAAGGAATATTTTACACATATACAATTTTTTTATACGTTCCTTAAGGCAGTGCCCTGATAACATATGCGTCCAGTGAACTCTCGATTCAACTAGTGATTTAATATTTATAGAATATTTTTCATCAAATACATTATTAATATTTGACGATCTAAAATTTCGAGTAAATTAATGATATTCTTGCGAGTAATGATGATACACACATAAATGCAGAATGCACTCACCAGATCATGCCATAATTGCTTATTTTAGTTGTTGCTATAGGAATCCAAACTATATTAGGGTTTGATAAAGTTCAATAATCCACGCCAAGAATGAAAAAGCAAATAGTGACTTCTCCATATATAAAAATCTCTCCCTTTTGTTTGATCCTCCACCAACCACATCTGATTATAATCCAAAACCCACTTATAATTGTTGGAAAGTAAAGAGAAAAGAGTGGCACACAAGGGTGGTCTAATATCCATCTACAATTGTGTCTCAATGAACAATCAATCACTAATAATAAAAATTATCCGAATTTTCGATATAATGTCATAAAATAATGCAACACTGAACCTTTTTTTGGTTATATACGTTGAGTTAACAAAGATTTGAATATTTTCGTTATTAAAAATTGAATTGTACCGATGACCAACTTCTTACGCTTTAAATTTTGAAAATCAACACTGTAATTTTTTTTCCTCAGACAAATAGTAACAATTGAAAATTTATGATTGTTTGTGATTCTCACTCTCTATGTGTGTGTATGTGTAACGATTTGGTCCGTATGTTCAAATCCTTAATTTACATACCGTCCACTATGTACCCCACACTGTTTTCTATCGTGTCCTTAAGAATTGAACTCAAGACTTCTGTCTAATGAGAAATTTAAATTGAATCTTGGTACCACTTAGATCCAACTAGTACCAGAATTCAACTCAAGTCTCTCGTTATTGTATGTATACGCTTTTGTGACATCGATCACCCGTCCAACCACATCTGATATAATTATAACACTCAATTTATTGTAATTAAAAGTGAAAAAAGTGGTCCCCAACCCATGTACAATTGCACACACTCTCTTAAAATTTGAACCCAAACTCCAAAAGCCAAGAGATTTCGAAATAACCTAAACCATTTGTCCTAAAAGGAACCCCCACCCCACTTGCCGACAGGTGTCGGTATTACAACTTTTCAGTTAGGGCATCAAAATCCTGTACTTTTTTAATTTTTTTCTTTTTATATAATATAATTTTTTCTATTTTTTTCTCGAGAATCAATTCATAGCGCATTATTCTTCTGCCACGTGCCCACTTTGAACTAGTTGGATGTGCTTAACACTTGCTTTGTTTCTTGGTATCAATCAAGAACTTCTTGGAGCCCTAATTTTGTGTATAAAGTAGATGGATTCTTGGAGCCCTATTTTGTGAATAAATTAGATGGATGAGAATATATATGTTTAGTGGTTCTTGGTAAGTGTTTACCACGCGAGTTTATATGGCGCGTAATCGATATCAACTTTTTATTTTTAATCATTATGTGCCTGTGTGATCTGTTATTGATAGCAACTTTATACTGTTAGTTATTAATGCGGACCATCATACGGTGATTAGTGGATTCCACCTGCAATCGAATTTTAACTATTTAGTCGTGTATATCTAAGTATGTTATTTCTCTTTATAGAAATGAGAGTCGAAACATAACATATTAATTAAAGGTTTATTTAAGTGGAGAAGCTTTGAAAAATTGATTTAAGATTGTGTTGAAACAAGAAATAGTTAAAGTGGCTACCTCATGGAGAAACTTTAGAGGCAAGCCCCCCCCCCCCCCCCCCCCCCCCACCCCCCCCAAAAAAAAAAAAAAAAAAAAATCCAACAAACAAGGAAAGGGAAAAATCCACAAAATAAACATGAAGACCTTACCAAAAATCTTCAATAGAAGATCAAGAACAGCAAGAACAACTTAAAGCAAACAAATACACATATTTTAGCCAATGCCGCAGTTTTTCACTATGTTGAACAAGATTTTAACACTTTAAGTAGAAAATGCAAAGATTATTACCTCCTGAATAACTTCATAATGGTGACGAAATTTAGAATTCATATCTTTATACCTAAGAAGATCAAATATCAATAGCAAACAAGAAGTTATCAGCATGAGGAATGCATTAAGAAAAAATTCTGTTCAAACTAAAAAGACTGTTCAGAAACTTACCTTCTCCAAAATTCCTTGTACGTTGAAACAAGAAACCTTCTCTGGCCATTCATATGATCCTGATAACTAAAAACACGTGCATTTGAACGCTCTTTAGCGTACTTCATCGCTTCATCCTGCCTTGGAAAGGTAGCCCAAAATTCCTCTCTAAAACGAGCATAAAACAAAAACCAATAATTCACTAAGTTCACAATAACCATAACAGAATTAAAATCACAGAAGATTTAAACTACCTCAATTTAGTTTGTTCCGAGAGATCAACACGTATTTCGTGCAACAATCGCAACAATCGAGCAGGCCGATTTGGAGGCACGCCGTGAGGTGAACCATAAAACACCATCGGAGAGAACTGTTTGTCATTGCCCAGGATTTTACAATTTTTGGTCGTCGGAGTTTCAGAAAATGAAGACTTTTCTTGTTGTGGTGAAGATTCTTGATTCAATTTTCGTTTTTCTTTTTTCCTTTCTCTGATTGCAGATTCTGATACATCAAAAACAATCGATTAACTCAATTTCCAGATATATAACCACAATCAGGAAAAAAAGTGTCGAACTTTCTGCACATACGAGGAGGAGAGAGGCCGCATTTGAAGTACTGGAGCAGGCGATCTACATCGTCCATGTAGTTTTTGAATTTTCCGGCGAAGGGAGTGTCGTGCAATTTGCATACGCTACGGGGGGAATTGATTTAAAAGGAGGTCAAACTAAACATTAGTTTAACGAAAAATGCTGGTTGTACAGCATTGGCTCAGAGCAAATTTCACAACATTTCAAAATGGGCGACGTGGAATAGGCGGGAACGGATTTCACTCGAAAAATTCAGGTAAATGCGTGGGTCAATAGCAACCCGGCCCGTTTCAGTAATTCCCAAAAATCTTGAATTCCCACCGTCAAAAATCATATTTCCCCAATACAACACCCGCGAGCAAATTATTTCTCCGCCCCCCCCCCCCCCCCCCACCCCACCCAAAAGGGCCAAAGAATAAAAATAATTAAAAGTTGTGTTTTCCTCTTTAATTACTTTCGAACATCAAAATACGAGTGAAAGTATTTACACGATCATCCTTATCATTCTGGTATTACCACATTTTCCACTTAATTGATATATGAGTCGAGTAAGAAAAAATTTAAACAATATAAAGGCAAAACATCATTCCATACTACAAGTTCAAAGAGCCCCCCCCCCCCCCCACCCCACCCAAAAGGGCCAAAGAATAAAAATAATTAAAAGTTGTGTTTTCCTCTTTAATTACTTTCGAACATCAAAATACGAGTGAAAGTATTTACACGATCATCCTTATCATTCTGGTATTACCACATTTTCCACTTAATTGATATATGAGTCGAGTAAGAAAAAATTTAAACAATATAAAGGCAAAACATCATTCCATACTACAAGTTCAAAGAATTCCAATCAATGTTAAAAGAGAAAATATAGAAAACAAAGGGTTGTTTCAAAATCATATATGTCGACTTTTCTTAGATACTGTAGCGTATTGTCATACTTGGCCAACCTACCTGGGCCAATGGCCCACTCAGGCCGAACCACGTGGCACTTCAGCCGAGGCGGTATATATTGCCGAAGTGGGTTATGGCCGAAGCCCTTCAATCCGAGGCATGCCCTTTTACCAAGGCTTGTGATGGTAACTGAGGTCGACATGCTGATGCCTATTGCCCGACGCCATGATGCGGAGCTGGTTGAAGTTAGCTGAAGCCCTCAAGGGAAGTATTGTATGAAATGGCCAAAGCCCCGAAACTGATGCAGGAGCCTCCGAACCACATGGGAACGTCCTCCATGATCACTTCTCCCAAGAGATCGTCTACACAAAGATTTTATTCGAATGATTGATGGAACGTTTTTCATAAGCATAAAGGTCAAGTCTTGTTACTAGCATAGAGGCTCTGCACAAGCAATAAATGCGCAGTAAGCTAGCAAGTCAAGCCCCCTGCCTAGGATAAGATATTTGAATCAAAGAGATGGGGCCACGTGCCAACTCATCCAAGGGCTCCCATTTCACATGTATCACTATAAATACTTCTCTTGTGTAACATCAAAGGACTAATGCAAGAATCAATACAAAGAACTACACTTTACTCAACTCTCTCTCATTTATTTGCAATACACAAATCGAGTTTACATATATTTACATGTACATTTCGAACAACGGTTGGTAATTATTGTACAATCGGATCACGAACAACCCGCCAGATTCCGAACGTCACCGTCCCGCGTCGTTGGACTACTCCCACGCCCTTTGAATCGCTCGTTGTAGACCGTCCACGTGTCACAGCGTGTTGGACATTCGCTCACGTGTGTGCGGGTGGGACCGACATCTGTTGGCAACACTTTTTGTGGTCAACAGATTGGCGCCGTCTGTGGGAAACCATACCATAACCGCGAGCAATCTTGTGGTAAAAGCTTACTGAAAGAACATTTGGGCAACCCCCCTTGAAAAAGGATTTGTTCTTGGAAAAGAACAGGAGAAAGCCCAATTACTTAGTGAAATCTAAAGTTTTACAAAAGAAAATGAGCTCCAATTAGGATACTCCCCCAGGAGAGTAAGAGAAAACACGAACGTGCCTCCTCAGCCCGCTGCCCCAGCAGCTCGGGAAAGACTCCACCACCACCAAAGAAGAGGTGAGATGCATGCAACGACACGACTGTTAAGAGAAATGGCCGCCAACATAAGGGATATTGCTAGCCAAAACTTGGCTATGAGGGAGCTTATGGCCCAAATGCAGGGCAGGGAGGCTTCCCCATTCCTCCATACGCCCCCCAAGGGCACTACTAACAAGAGGATGAAGTTCAAAGTCATCGAACCACCTCGCCAGACTATGGCCGAGGTGGAAGCCCATTTGAAAGGGAAGTGGAAGTTGATGCTTCTTCCAACTACGCTTCTGGCCGACCCACCGAGGTCCCAATGAGCCATGATAATTTTCCACCTCCGTATGAGCAAGATCCAAGGCATAGGAGGGCAGGAAGTGTTTTTGACAGAATCAGCCCCATCGAACCGAGCCTTAGGCAACAACAGGCACAATAGCCTTGGACAAGGCCGCCCTCTCCACCTCCAATGCCCCAGCAGGCGGAGAGAAGGCATGAAAATGCCCCCTGTGTCGTTCCGCCTAGAAATAGGCAACAGAGGAAGGGGGGAAGAGGCTAGGGATCGCCCTGGAACCTCTCATCAACAACCAGGGCATGAGGTTGATGAGTACGACTCTGACGAATAGCAAAGGTCCTACGACTTAGACGATGACGATGAGAATCTACCATTCTCAACGGAACTAAGGAATGCCCAGGTCTCGAGCCACTATGTTATACTAAAAATACCAAAGTATGACGGAAGAGGCGACCCGGAGAAGCACCTAAATGCTTATAAAACTCACATGAGCTTAAGGGACGCCACCCCAGCCGTGAAGTGCAGAGCCTTCCATTTAACGCTTAGTGGAGCGGCTGAAATTTGGTATAGCAGATTGTCTCCTAGGAGCATTAGAAGCTGGCTCGAGTTCAAGACACCATTCTTGAAGAGGTTCGCGGTGAACAAAGAAGGAGAGGCCCCCATCCAACGTCTCCAGGACATGAGGCAAGCACATGGAGAGTCCCTAAAGAGCTTCTTATCACGCTTCACCGATGAGATGACATACTCCATACAAGTCACTGACCGAGAGACACTATCCGCATTAAGGGGAGGTCTGAACATGAATACCTTATTCTGGAGAGATGTGCAGAATCAAGATCCCACCACCTATGAAGCCCTACTCGAAATGATGAGAAGGGAGATCATCAATGAATAATTGATTGAGCATAGGAACAGGGCAAGTAGAGGCCTCCCACCTCATCAAAGACAGCACGGTAGAGGCCCGACTTCCCACCTGATGGGCTACCAAATGAACCAGGCCGAAAATGAGAACTCTGGTCAAGCACTTGCCTCCACCACCCTGAATGCGGTTCCCACCTTGGCATATGAGGATGTCAACCCAATTACTGACTCCCATCAGATGGGGGCCCAGGAGATACCCCGTCGGGAGAGAGGCCGAGGTCAAGGTTCTAGACCTAGAAATAGGTTAAATTCGAACCCTCCAGGATACTGTGTACACCATAGGTCCTACGGGCATGACACAACAGATTGTAGAAACTATGCACAACGTGGGACCCGCTAGAGACGGATATGATTTGTCCCAGGCGAACAGGCCGCCACCCAGACATGACAATCGACGTGGACGTGAGGAGGCCGCTTCCCGTCAAAGGGATGTATCCTCGAGGCGAAGGAAGCATGATGCGGAGAGGCCCAGGGAAGGGTGTAGGCACCAAAGAAACTGGCAAGCTCGAGATGAAGTCCCTATCCACGAGGTGGATGCCATATTTGGAGGTCCGTATGTCGGCGGTGAAACACGAAATGCTAAAAGGAACTATGCTCGGGAGGCTAAACACCCCCCTTTGACAAGCTACATTGTGGGTAGCAGCTCCCGAAAAAACCAGGTTTCACCCATTGTATTTACCCAGGAAGACGCAGAGGGAGTTCATTACCCCCATTGCGATGCACTTGTGGTGAGAGCTATCATAGCCAGGAATGGGTTTAAACGAATGTTAGTTGACAACGGCAGCTCCGTCAACATTCTATTCGGATCCGCCTTTGACAAAATGATATTGGATCATCAGCTAACACCCACCACCACTCCATTGTACGGATTTATCGGAGATAGCATCACTCCGAGGGAAAAGATAACACTTGCGGTGGAGATGGGAGAATCCCCATGAACAACGATGAACTTCATGGAGTTCCTCATTGTCGATAGCCGGTCAGCTTACCACGGAGTTTTGGGCAGGTCAGTCCTGAAGGAATTGGGAGCAGTCACCTCCATCTACTACCTATGCATGAAATTCCCGACAGAGAATGGGGTGGCAAAGGTGAAAGGCGGCCAAAGAGGCTCACGAGAGTGCTATCTAAGCTCCATCAAGAAGGTAGAGCCCCGGGACGTCCATGTAATCATAGCTGACGTGGTCATGGCAGATGTCCCAGGTAATGCTCCCACCGAATAAGAAGATGTTGATATGATCAATGCTCCACCTAATCCGAAGGTGCAAGTAATTGATGAGATTGACCCCCACATAACGAAACACGAGCCTCAGGCATTCCCAGTAGAGGAACTTGAGAGTTTCTCGGTAGACCCCCGAGACCCATCAAAGGTGCTGAAGGTAGGCAAATGCCTATCCAACATTCTCAAGGAAAAAATTAAGGATTTCATGAGCAAGAATCTTGATTTCTTTGGCTGGAAGCATGAGGACATGGTAGACATAGACCCCAAGGTCAGCTGCCACCACCTAAAAATCGATCCTAAGGTTGCCCCACATAGACAAAAAAAGAGAGCACTCAATCCTGAGAGGTATGAGGCCCTAAAGGAAGAAGTTCAGAAGCTCATCCAAAATGGCTTCATCAGGGAGGCAACCTACCCGAAGTGGGTCTCCAACCCGATTTTGGTAAAGAAACACAACGGCAATTGGAGGGTGTGCATCGACTTCACCAATCTCAATAGAGCTTGCCCGAAAGACAGCTTTTCACTCCCAAGAATTGACCAACTAGTAGAATCTACTGCTGGACACGAGTTGTTGAGTTTTATGGATGCGTACTCCGGGTACAACCAAATCCCCATACACCCGGTTGATGAAGAGCACACCTCTTTCATCACGGACTGAGGCCTCTATTGTTATAGAATTATGCCATTCGAGTTGAAAAACGTCGGAGCAACCTACCAAAGACTCGTAAACAAGATGTTTATGGACCTCATTGGCAAAACAATGGAGGTCTACGTCGACAACATGCTAGTAAAAAGTTTGGAGGCCGAGGACCACATGACGCACCTCAACAGCACTTTCCAAATCCTAAGAAGGTATAGGATGAGACTAATAGTCCCCTTAAGTGCGCCTTTGGGGT